GGTACTTGAAAAAATATTCTTTAAAAAATCCACGCCTTAGAGGTACTTGAAAAAATATTCTTTAAAAAATCCACGCCTTAGAGGTACTTGAAAAAATATTCTTTAAAAAATCCACGCCTTAGAGGTACTTGAAAAAATATTCTTTAAAAAATATTCTTTTAAAAAATCCACGCCTTAGAGGTACTTGAAAAAATATTCTTTTAAAAAATCCACGCCTTAGAGGTACTTGAAAAAATATTCTTTTAAAAAATCCACGCCTTAGAGGTACTTGAAAAAATATTCTTTAAAAAATCCACGCCTTAGAGGTACTTGAAAAAATATTCTTTAAAAAATCCACGCCTTAGAGGTACTTGAAAAAATATTCTTTAAAAAATCCACGCCTTAGAGGTACTTGAAAAAATATTCTTTAAAAAATCCACGCCTTAGAGGTACTTGAAAAAATATTCTTTAAAAAATCCACGCCTTAGAGGTACTTGAAAAAATATTCTTTTAAAAAATCCACGCCTTAGAGGTACTTGAAAAACGTGGCGCATACAGAAATTCCCAGTGGTCAATATTTAAAAGACCTTTCGGCGTGTTCTTCCAAAGCTGCAATCCCAAAACCTGTATCTGTTCACCTTTTTGTTGTAGTATTTGTTCGATAAGCTCTTCTCGACTCACAAAGAAATAAATCTCATCGAGAGTTCGCTGCCATATGGCTTCTAAAATCCGCTTATCGCTTCGTTCGATCTCTTCTAATAAAAGTTTCAAGTCGTTGTTATCTCTCACAGAGTGTGCGATGAAAGCTTCTTCCAGCTGTTGTCCGACAACTGCAATCAGTTGCTTACGTATGTGATGGATGAATAATCGGCTACAGCGATCTTCATTGCTGGCTGGGTTCTGCTGAAGTCGGTGGTACAGATCAATGAGACGTTTGGGGTCTAGTTCACAGTCGCCATGATTGGCATCATGCCAAAATGTTTGCAGGGTCCGGGAGGTTGTTGATTGTTTTAAACATAAATTAAATCTTGTTGTTTGTATATGGCGACACACAGTACGAGCGATAAACGAACTAGTATTTTAGCTACAGCGAACATCTTCGCATGAGTCTAGCTTGAAAACTAAAGTGTGATGATGGGCTTTAGCCAATCATTGGCTGCGGATCAAATATCCTCTTGGTATATGGAATGAAGAGCGAAGAAATACTTTATGGCGTATTTAGAAGGCCCTGTTTTAGGCAGGCCTTCGTAAAAATATTTGTGCAAGGTCTAAAAAAGGCGCAGATTTTTTTAAAGAAAAGAGAGGTGTGGATTTTTTAAAGAATATTTTTTCAAGGCCTAAAAGAGGCGTGGACTTGCTAAAGAATATTTTTTCAAGGCCTAAAAGAGGCGTGGACTTGCTAAAGAATATTTTTTCAAGGCCTAAAAGAGGCGTGGACTTGCTAAAGAATATTTTTTCAAGGCCTAAAAGAGGCTTCCATAAGGCGTAGATTTTTAAAAGAATATTTTTTTTCAAGGCCTAAAAGAGGCTTCCATAAGGCGTAGATTTTTATAAGAATATTTTTTTTCAAGGCCTAAAAGAGGCTTCCATAAGGCGTAGATTTTTATAAGAATATTTTTTTTCAAGGCCTAAAAGAGGCTTCCATAAGGCGTAGAATATTTTTTTTCAAGGCCTAAAAGAGGCTTCCAAAGGCGTAGATTTTTAAAAGAATATTTTTTTCAAGGCCTAAAAGAGGCTTCCATAAGGCGTAGATTTTTAAAAGAATATTTTTTTTCAAGGCCTAAAAGAGGCTTCCATAAGGCGTAGATTTTTATAAGAATATTTTTTTTCAAGGCCTAAAAGAGGCTTCCATAAGGCGTAGATTTTTAAAAGAATATTTTTTTCAAGGCCTAAAAGAGGCTTCCATAAGGCGTAAATTTTTAAAAGAATATTTTTTTTCAAGGCCTAAAAGAGGCTTACATAAGGCGTAGATTTTTAATAGAATATTTTTTTCAAGGCCTAAAAGAGGCTTCCATAAGGCGTAGATTTTTAAAAGAATAGGCGTGGATTTTTAAAAGAATATTTTTTTCAAGGACCTACACACCAATAGGCGTGGATTTTTAAAAGAATATTTTTTTCAAGGGCTACACAAGGAATATTTTCAAGGGCTACACAAGTCGAGGATTTTTAAAAGAATATTTTTTTCAAGGCCTAAAAGAGGCTTCCATAAGGCGTAGATTTTTAAAAGAATATTTTTTTCAAGGCCTAAAAGAGGCTTCCATAAGGCGTAGATTTTTAAAAGAATATTTTTTTCAAGGCCTAAAAGAGGCTTCCATAAGGCGTAGATTTTTAAAAGAATATTTTTTTCAAGGCCTAAAAGAGGCTTCCATAAGGCGTAGATTTTTAAAAGAATATTTTTTTCAAGGCCTAAAAGAGGCTTCCATAAGGCGTAGATTTTTAAAAGAATATTTTTTTCAAGGCCTAAAAGAGGCTTCCATAAGGCGTAGATTTTTAAAAGAATATTTTTTTCAAGGCCTAAAAGAGGCTTCCATAAGGCGTAGATTTTTAAAAGAATATTTTTTTCAAGGCCTAAAAGAGGCTTCCATAAGGCGTAGATTTTTAAAAGAATATTTTTTTCAAGGCCTAAAAGAGGCTTCCATAAGGCGTAGATTTTTAAAAGAATATTTTTTTCAAGGCCTAAAAGAGGCTTCCATAAGGCGTAGATTTTTAAAAGAATATTTTTTTCAAGGCCTAAAAGAGGCTTCCATAAGGCGTAGATTTTTAAAAGAATATTTTTTTCAAGGCCTAAAAGAGGCTTCCATAAGGCGTAGATTTTTAAAAGAATATTTTTTTCAAGGCCTAAAAGAGGCTTCCATAAGGCGTAGATTTTTAAAAGAATATTTTTTTCAAGGCCTAAAAGAGGCTTCCATAAGGCGTAGATTTTTAAAAGAATATTTTTTTCAAGGCCTAAAAGAGGCTTCCATAAGGCGTTGATTTTTAAAAGAATATTTTGTTACGGCCTAAAAAAAGGCGTGGATTTGTTAAAGAATATTTTTTCAAGGCTACAAAATTCGTGGATTTTTTAAAGAATATTTTTTCAAGGCCTACAAAATTCGTCGATTTTTTAAAGAATATTTTTTCAAGCATTAGAATAGGACTGGATTTTTAAAAGAATACTTTTTTAAGACCTACAAAATTCGTGGATTTTTTGAAGAATATATTTTCAGGCCTTAGAATAGGCGTGGATTTTTTTAAAGAATATTTTTTCGGGGAAGATATTTTTATTTTTTTAATATTTTTTTATAAATTTTTATTATAATTTTCGTTAAATACCATCTCTTACAACTTCCAGATGAATGCCACCCTTAACCTCCAATAATATCGATTTGGTGTCAAATTCTGGATTCAGCACCGTATCTTTGCTCACTCGGACATGATGTCGTCGCAGAAAATGTACCAGGCCACATTTCATTTGAAGCATTGCCAAACGACTGCCAATGCAGTTATGGGGTCCCGAGCCAAAGGGTAAGTAGGTCATGGGATTTATATGCAATTTGTTCTCATGTGAAAAACGATCGGGATCAAATTTTGTGGGATTGGGCCAGTACTAGAAATGAATAATTTTTTTTAACATTTATTTTGTAATTTTTATAACAACAAAAAGTCCGACTCACCTTCGGATCATAATGCAAACCAAAAAGGGAAATATATATCGACATATCATTGGGTATATCGAAATCACAATATGGCCTCAGCGAATAGTGGGTCGATTTTCCAGCTGGTCTTTTGTATAATCTCTCCAGAATTGGTAAAACAGGATATAGACGCAGAGTTTCATTTATCACCATTTCAAGATATTTCATATTGTTGAGGATTTCATAGGATAGGACAGAACTTTCCTCTTGGTCAAAGGCCTGCTTTATTTCAGACTTAAGTCTTTGTTGCACATCTGGCTGCTTTGCCAATTCAAAGAGAGCATTGGACATCGTGGTTGATGAAGTCTCGGCACCAGCAGCAATGAATATGGCAGCCTGGGCTATCAGGGTCTGCATATATTTTTCAACATCCCTACCATTATGCGAAGCTTCGTCTCGCAATTTAACAAACATATCAATTAAATCGTTGCGCTGCTCTCCTCGAAGTAACCTTTCCTTTACGGCATGATTTATGGAGGCCTTAATAAACTCTTCAGATTTTTCATATAGCAATTTGGAACGGAAGAGCCGAGCAAGTTTTGGAGCGAACAGGATAACCATATAGTCGATGGCTCTCTTCAAATTAAAATGGGCCAATAGAGCAATTTCTTTCCACAATTCTTCGTTGGGATTTTGCAGGGAATTCGATTGGAATCCCAACAGGGTGGTGGCCACAATATCGCTGGTATAACGGGCACAGAAATATTTCAATTCCACTGGATGAACCTCGGATTCACTATCAAAATACGCTTCGATATTCTTTGCCACATTTTGTATCAGCGGATACATATATTTCAATTTGGCACTTGTAAAAACGGGACTAAGTTTTTGTCGCATTTCCCTCCATACTCGATAGCAGGTGTAGAACATCATTTGACCTCCGATGCGGTCATAATTTATATCGATATCATGAAAACGATAACAAAAACAATCGAAATCTTTTATCAAAATTTGTTTGATAAGTTCCGGGTCTTTTATCAGCAATGCAGGTCTATAGAGGTCATAGATGCCCACCACAGGTTTATCCGCAAATTGCGGATCATCGTAGATTTTCTTTAAATGATAACCGAAATTAGTTTTGAAGCTAAGAAAATCGTATAAATTTCCACTAAATATTCTACCCGGTACACTTGACACCTGCGGATGCCTTGACCAATAACCGTATTGGTATTTATAGAGAATGTAAAGGAATATTGGAACTATCGCAAGCCCCCACATGATTGCCGGCTTGAAGTCAGGTTGAAGTTTTAAATTGTACTGCCGCTGAATTAATACCCGATGATAAATCATCTTTACATTTCAGGCAAAACCTGATTGCATTCCGAATATTTGAGAAAGCTTTATTTTTGTATCTCCTATAAAAAATTCAAACAGTGGATTCTATGTTGGATAATGTGAACGAATATTTTTTTACAGGTAAACGAAGGTGTGCGTTTTAATGATATTTTTTCAAGAATATCTTTCCTGACCTACAAGATGTGTGGATTTTTTGAAGAATATTTTTCCTGGGCCTTCAATAGGCGTGGATTTCTTCAAAGAATATTTTTCCTGAGCCTACAAGAGGCGTGGATTTTTAAAGAATATTTTTCCTGGGCCTTCAATAGGCGTGGATTTCTTCAAAGAATATTTTTCCTGAGCCTACAAGAGGCATGGATTTTTTAAAGAATATTTTTCCTGAGCCTACAAGAGGCGAGGATTTTTTAAAGAATATTTTTCCTGAGCCTACAAGAGGCGTGGATTTTTGAAAGAATATTTTTTTCTGAGCCTACAAGAGGCGTGGATTTTTTAAAGAATATTTTTCCTGAGCCTACAAGAGGCGTGCATTTTTTAAAGAATATTTTTCCTGAGCCTACAAGAGGCGTGGATTTTTTAAAGAATAATTTTCCTGAGCCTACAAGAGGCGTGGATTTTTTAAAGAATATTTTTCCTGAGCCTACAAGAGGCGTGGATTTTTTAAAGAATATTTTTCCTGAGCCTACAAGAGGGGTGGATTTTTTAAAGAATAATTTTCCTGAGCCTACAAGAGGCGTGGATTTTTTAAAGAATATTTTTCCTGAGCCTACAAGAGGAGTGGATTTTTTTCTGATGTCTATTAGAGACTTTGCCTTTTTAAAGAATATTTTTTATTGAAATTAACTTTTAAATTTATAACCCACTGTTGTTCGGCTTTAGGGCTATCAAATATAAAATTTTTGTTTGAATATTTTTTATAAATTATAATTATGGAAAAAATTAGGGGGTTGGGTTTTAGAAATGTTGAGTGGATGAAAGCTATGCTAAATAATAATTTATTTTACAAATGAATACGAGGAGATATCACGTGCGAAAAAGCTTGAAATTAAAATTTTTGATCAGTTAGTCTGTGAATTGAGTTGTGAGTTGAAAATATATATTTTTATTTATTCAGATATTATTATTAAGCCTTAATGTGGATCTAAACAAAGTCCAAAACATTTTAGACACAGCACATACAATTTATTTTCTACACAAAATTAAAAAAAAATTAATATCCATTTCGGTTCCGCCAGTTGTATAAATACAAAGTTAAAATTCCCATAATCGAAAATTTGAGAGTGCAATGTTTACATTATCGGCATAGAATAATAAAAACAATCAAATATTTGGTGGGCATGTGTTCGCCAAAGAAGTTATCAACATATTTTTTGTCGATATTAGCAATGACAATGAAATATGAGTAATAATTTTTGTATAAATGTATTTTTCTATACAATATCTTCATGCAAGTCATACCCATCACATTCATATGAATTTAATGAGATTCTAGCCAGACAAGCTTGTCTATTTGTATTTGTAGATTGTGAGGAGGTAATGTTATTGAACTGTGAATTGACAATAGATTATATAGTTTCAAATTTATTAATGATTGACGAAATTGTAATAAAATATTTAAAATAATCTTAAAAAATCCACGCCTTTTCTAAGACTTGAAAAAATATTCTTTAATAAATCCACGCTTTGTGGAGACCCTGAAAAAATATTCTTTAATAAATCCACGCTCTGTAGAGACCTTGAAAAAATATTCTTTAATAAATCGAAGCCTAGTAGAGGGCTTGAAAAAATATTCTTTAATAAATCCACGCCTTTGGTAGGCCTTGAAAAATATTCTTTAATAAATCGAAGCCTAGTAGAGGACTTGAAAAAAATTCTTTAATAAATCCACGCCTTTGGTAGGCCTTGAAAAAATATTCTTTAACTAGCATATGCCCGCAACTTCGTTGGCTAAAGTGGGAAATATTTAAACATGTATTAACATAGAGTTTTATTTTCACAGAAGACTACATATGACAGAAAAAATAAAGAATTCACACATTAATATCGACCAATAATTAAATTTTTAGTACCATTTAGTACCAAATTTCATGATTCGAGCTCTAAAGGTTCAACCAAACCCAAATGTTACCAAATTTAGTATAATTTAGCACACATTATACTCTCCTCAACAATCCAACAAAACATTCTGCATACCCCGATCCTACACCCCCACAATGATTCCTAATTTAAATTTTGGGATTCCAACTCTATTGGTTCTCCCACAATTGAAATTGTACCAAATATAGTACACAGTAGTACGAAATTGCAAAACCTTCTATTCAACCCAAACCGACACCACCACAGTGATCCTAAATCCAAGTTTCAGGATTCCAACACTATCGGTTCACCCACAATTCAAATTGTACCAAATTTAGTACATAGTAGTACCAATTTCCAAAACTTCCAACATACCCCAATCCTACACCTACACATTGATCCTAAATCCAAGTTTCAGGATTCCAATTCTGTAGCTTCGCCCGCAATTCAAATTGTACTAAATTTAGTACACAGTAGTACCAACTTCCACAACTTCTTACAGACCCCCATCTTACACCTTCAAAGTGATCCTAAATCCAAGTTTCAGGATTCCAACACTATCGGTTCACCCACAATTCAAATTGTACCAAATTTAGTACACAGTAGTACCAATTTCAAAACCTTCCAACATACCCAAATCCTACACCTCCACACTGATCCTAAATCCAATTTTCAGGATTCCAACTGTATAGGTTCACCCACAATTCAAATTGTACTAAATTTAGTACACATTAGTACGAATTTCCAAAACTTACTACCTGACCCAAACCTTCACCCTACAGTGAACCTAAATCCAAGTTTCAGGATTCCAAATCTATTGGTTCACCCACAATTCAAATTGTACTAAATTTAGTACACAGTAGTACGAATTTCCAAAACCTCCTTTTTACCCCAAACCTACACCCCCACAGTGATCCTAAATACAAGTTTCAGAATTCCAATTCTATATGTTCACCCATAATTCAAATTGTACCAAATTTAGTACACAGTAGTACTTATTTCCAAAACCTCCTTCCTACCCCAAACCAACACCCCCACAGTGATATAAAACCCAAGATTCAGGTTTCCAACACTATCGGTTCACCCACAATTCTAATTGTACAAAATTTAATACACAATAGTACCAATTTCCAAAACTTCCTACATACCCCCATCCTACACCTCGAAAGTGATCCTAAATCAAAACTTCAGGATTCCAACTGTATAGGTTCACCCACAATTCAAATTGTACTAAATTTAGTACACAGTAGTACGAATTTCCAAAACTTCCTACTTAACCCAAACCTTCACCCTACAGTGAACCTAAATCCAAGTTTCAGGATTCCAACTCTATCGGTTCACCCACAATTCAAATTGTACTAAATTTAGTACATAGTAGTACGAATTTCCAAAACTTCATACATACCCCAATCCTACACCCCCACACTGATAATAAATCTATGTTTTAGGATTCCAACTCTATCGGTTCACCCACAATTCAAATTGTACTAAATTTAGTACACAGTAGTACCAATTTCCAAAACTTCGTACATACCCCAAACCTACACCTCCACAGTGATCCTAAGTCAAAATTTCAGGATTCCGACTCTATCAGTTCACCCACAATTTAAATTGTACCAAATTTAGTACACAGTAGTACGAATTTGCAAAACATCCTACACCTCCAAAGTGATCCTAAATCACAATTTCAGGATACCAACAAATTTCTAATATAAATATATCCATTCTACACTTATAGTTCGAATATCCAAAAAAAAATCGTTGATTTATCTATTCTACACTCCATTAGTAACCCTCATTTCAAATTTAAGAGTTCTAGCTCTACTGGTTCGCCAAATACAAATGATACCACATTTAGTACTTTTCGTACTATACATTAATAAATCCACGCCTCTTGTAAGGCTTGAAAAAATATTCTTTAATAAATCCACGCCTCTTCTAAGGTGGCTTGAAAAAATATTCTTTAATAAATCCACGCCTCTTCTAAGGTGGCTTGAAAAAATATTCTTTAATAAATCCACGCCTCTTGTAAGGCTCGAAAAATATTCTTTAATAAATCCACGCCTCTTCTTAGGCTCAAAAAATATTCTTTAATAAATCCACGCCTATTCTAAGGCTCGATAAAATATTCTCTAATAAATCCACTCCTTTTCTAAGGCTCGAAAATATATTCTTTAATAAATCCACGCCTCTTCTAAGGCTCGAAAAAATATTCTTTAATAAATCCACGCCTCTTCTAAGGCTTGAAAATTATTCTGTGTTAAATCCACGCCTCTTATAGGCCTTGAAAAAATATTCTTTAATAAATCCACACCCCTTCCTTAATTATAAAAAAATATGCCAAATTCGTTTTCCGAAAAGAGGTTTAAATTTGAATCCCTCACTAAAAACACATGTCCTGGCCAATATCCCTTCTTTCTACGCTTCCAAATCTTCCGATTTGTAGAGAAGAAGTCAAAATAATATTTATCTTTATTAAAGAAATAAAAAGAAAAAAATAACAACAACAGAAATGGTAACTCATCTTTATGATGGTTATTATTATTGTTGGTGTTGTTGTTGTAGTGGTAATGGGATTTTCTTTGAATTGCCGGGGAAAAAAGTAAATCTGTAAGAAAGCTGGCCCTTAAAGTTGTTAAACAAAAGATTTGATATTATATTTTACTTTATTATTCCTGGTGTTTGCTAAAATATTAAGGATGTGTTTTTTGAGCCTTTCAGCCAAACTCACACACACCGACTCACATTGCCAATATTTTATTCTGACCACTTTTATCCGGCTCGAAGGCTGATAGCATGTTAGGAATTATGTCAACCTTTAGTTTTCAGAGAGGGGGTTATGGGACAAAAAAACACCAACATTTGTCTTATTTAACTCTTCACATGACAAACTTGTGTTGAATGAAAATATCGACACTTGGGACAGGTGTGGATAGACGGGGTCGTAACAGAATTAGGAATGGGCATTAGGGCTTCCTTTTCTTTGTATTGCTGTATTATTTAGATCAGTGTAAAAGGTTAAAAAGTAGAAAAAAAGGTTTGTTGTTGCTGCTGGTTTTTAAGAGACGTGGATTTATTAAAGAATATTTTTTCAAGGCCTCTAAGAGGCGTGGATTTATTAAAGAATATTTTTTCAAGGCCTCTAAGAGGCGTGGATTTTTTATCTATTCAAGACATCTAAGAGGCGTGGATTTATTAAAGAATATTTTCTGAAGACCTCTAAGAGGCGTGGATTTACTAAAGAATATTTTTAAGACCTCTAAGAGGCGTGGATTATTTAAGACCTCTAAGAGGCGTGGATTATTTAAGACCTCTAAGAGGCGTGGATTATTTAAGACCTCTAAGAGGCGTGGATTATTTAAGACCTCTAAGAGGCGTGGATTTATTAAAGAATATTTTTTCACGAAGTCGACCGCAAGGCGTGGATTTATTAAAGAATATTTTTTCAAGACCTCTAAGAGGCGTGGATTTATTAAAGAATATTTTTTCAAGACCTCTAAGAGGCGTGGATTTATTAAAGAATATTTTTTCAAGACCTCTAAGAGGCGTGGATTTATTAAAGAATATTTTTTTCTCCCAATTCTCTTCGAAGAGAGCATTCCTTTGCGCACACTCACCACTTGCCTACATATTTCATCTGTTGCTTGATGTTACCTCTTAATACCTGTATTTATTGTTGTATTGTTTTGAGGATTTCCATAAAAACATCTGTACAAGTGTCTCATAAATTTCACCCCAACTCCCTAACTCCCATTACCCTCCACCCCGCGTTTCAGACCAAACACACAAAAATGTTGTTTGTAAACATCAGCCATTCTCCTCCTGTTGCTGTCCCTGTTGCTGCTGCAGCGCTACTCCTGTTGACGATGTTATGAAGGGCTGGTTGCCTTCAGCCCTACTTTTCGTGACTAAGGGTTTTGTGTTTGTGGGTTAATGGGTTATTTCAGGATGGATGTGCAGTTATGTTTTTCGTGCTCCAATATGAATGAGTTTGAGTGTGTGTGTGACCATTTTTAAGAATGGGAATGGTATCTGGCGTGTGGGTATTTTTTTGGGGGAAAGGGAATTTTATGTGAAAATAATTCCGAAGATAAAATGTAATATGCAAACTGAACAATGGGTTGTGTAGAGCTTATCTGAAAATATAACAATTTCTGCAAATTTTAAAATTTAAAGAAGATAATTAAAAATATATTTTTTCAAGCTCTTATAGGCCTTGCATTTTTTAAAGAATAGTTTTTCAAGGCCTGTAAAATGCGTGGTTTTTTTAAGAATATATTTTCAAGGTCTATAAGTGTCGTGCATTTTTAAAGAATATTTTTTCAGGGCCTATAAGAGGGTTGGATTTTTAAAAAATATTTTTTCAAGGACTATAAGAGGTGAAGAAGGAAACCTGGTGACAGATACAGACAGCGTGCTGATGATTTGGAAGGAGCATTTTGAAAAACTTCTGGTATAAAATAGTAGCGATGAAGAGGATACCCCATAACCTATAATAGATGACGGTATAGAGTGTATACCACCTAGCCAAGATGAAGTCAGAATAACAATCAATCGGCTGAAGAATAATAAAGCAGCAGGTGCCAATGGGTTACAAGCCGAACTATTCAAGACTGGTGGTCAGATGCTGGTAAGGAGCATGCACCAGCTGATTAGTACAATTTGGCTAGAAGAATGCATGCCCAATTATTGGAACCTCAGCATCCTGTGTCCCGTACACAAAAAAAGGGAGACAAGACGATATGTGCCAACTATAGAGGAATGAGTCTCCTTTCCATCGCATATAAAGTGCTATTCAATGATATTATTTTACCAAGGCGGCAAATCCACCATTGACCAGATTTTCACTCTGCGCCAAATCCTGAAAAAATTCACGAAGAACTCATCGACACATTCCACCTATTCGTCGACTATAAAGCCACATTCGACAGGAATTTTTCTTCATATCAGGTTCCGTTTTTGTGATATTGCCTACGATGTTCAACCTTTAATTTTAAAAATTATTTTTCTCGACTTCAATTAAATTTGTTTCTTTAAATCTGCAGTCCTTTAATAATGACCTCTGGTGAACACCCTAAATTAATCCCACATTAAGAACTTGTCGAGTATCCACAACGAATCACACTTATCAATTATCTTCCATTGGATTCCGTTGGCCTTGAATATTCTATGTTTTGATACACTAACCGTATTGATGCGCCTACGAAGTGTTGTAATCTTGTGATTACTCAAATTACCAACACAAGCCTGCTGGCTGGCTGGACGCCAGTCAGTCAATCAGTGAGTTAGTCACCCAGCCATCCACTGAAATGCGCTTAACACCATAAATAAACAGCTCATTAGGCTTTAATGTAAATCTATTGGGGACGATTTTTGGTACAAATACTTTAGGGAAACCAAACATTTATTAGGGTGTAACGCTTAGGGAAAATAACTCAAAAAATGAATTTGAAAAATATTATTTTAAAAGTCCAAGCCTTTGGTGGGCCTTGAAAAAATATTAGTTTAACCAATAAGGAAAGTAGTAGAGTCGGACTGGGCCGACTATATGATACCCTTCACGACTTTGGGTATATTGTACATACGTATCCTTACAATTGTATGTCAATGTTCCGTCGAAGGAACATACTCATGTCTTTCTGCAACCTTTGATAAATTTAATTTCATTCGGGCAGATTTAGAGTCGTCTGCGTACCATGGGACAAATTTATGGAAAACGATTTACAGACAAATTGATACACGCTATTCGGTATGCCGCACTGTAAAAAATTCCATCTCAATCTGGCACCCGATCGAAATACATATGGAAGCTATGGCTGCATCTGCACCAATTTCAACAAAACCCAATAAAGTCATTCTAGTCTCAATTTGATACGTTGTGCAAAATTTCGTGTTAATCGGACAAACATTAGGAGTTTGGTGCACCATTTATGTAAAATCGGACGAAAATATATATGGGAGCTATATCTAAATCTGACCCGATTTCCACGGAACTTAGCACACATCATTCTAGGCTTAATTATGTACGCTGTGCCAAATTTCGTGGAAATCCAAAGCAAATTAGGAACTTTGGTGGACCATTTACCTTAAATTGGACGAAAATATATATGGGAGCTATATATAAATCTTAACCGTTTTTCACGAAACTAAGCACACATAATTCTAGGCTTAATTCAGTACGCTGTGCCAAATTTCGTTCAAATCGAAAGAAATTTAGGGACTTTGGTGGACCATTTACCTTAAATCGGACTAAAATATATATGGGAGCTATATCTAAATCTGAACCGATTTTTACGCAACTTATCACATATCATTCTAGGCTTAATTCAGTACGCTGTGCCAAATTTCGTGCAAATCAAAAGATATATAGGGACTTTGGTACACCATTTACCTTAAATCGGACGAAAATATATATGGGAGCTATATCTAAATCTGAACCGATTTTCACGAAACTTAGCACACATCATCCCAGGCTTAATTTAGTACGCTGTGTCAAATTTCGTGCAAATCGAATGATATATAGGGACTTTGAGGCACAATTTACCTCAAATCGGGCGAATATATATATATGGGAGCTATATCTAAATCTGAACCGATTTCACTAAACTTATCACACATCATTCTAGAATCAATTCCGTATGCTGTGCCATATTTCGTGCAAGTCGAAGAATATATAGGGTCATTGGTGCACCATTTACATTAAATCGGAAGAAGATATATATGGGAGCTATATCTAAATTTGAACCGATTTTCATGAAACTTAGCATACATCATTCTACTCTTAATTCAGTACGCTGTGCCAAATTTCGTGCAAATCGAAAGATATTTAGGGACTTTGCTGCACCATTTACCTTAAATCGGACGAAAATATATATGGGAGCTATATCGAAATCTGAACCGATTTTTTTCCAATTTCAATAGGGTTCGTCCTTGGGCCAAATAAGTGACCTATGCTAAATTTCATACAATTAGGATTATAAATGCGACTTGTACTTTGTTTACAATTTAACATGGACAGACAGACGGACGGACGGACATGCATAAATCGACTTAGAAAGTGATCCTGTGCATATTCTCAAAAGGAACCATGTGTCTATATCGTTTCCTTTTGCCTGTTACAAACATATGCACAAAGACATAATACCTTGTACCACAGAGTGGTAAAGGGTATAAAAATCCACGACTTTGTTGGGCCTTGAAAAAAAATGAAAAAATATTATTTTAAAGATACACGCCACTGTTGATCCTCAAAATATTCTTAAAAAATACATCCCTCTTTTAGGACTTAAAAAATTCTTTAAAAATCCACGCCTCTTGTATACCTTAAAAATCTGGTACATCCTTTTGTCCCCTTAATACCCTAAGTATGTCAAAGCTCTTGCCGAATTAGCAGCTTTAATTCCATCAGCGAACATCACACCACAGCCATGCAGCAGCATCATCCTCATCATTATCAACATTTACAAATTTACGCTAATAATACTCTGTAATGTAGGTATGTATTGTTGTGTTCGATTCCCGAGACTCGAATTTGCTTTTATATGACCACGAAATTGGCAGTGAATGTTTACATTTCTAATTCGAAAATTCAATTGTAAAAATTCATGACATTGAAATGAAAGGAAGAATTTACTTTGCTAACCCGAAACCATTCACCACCCCTCTCTATCCGCATTCACCTAATGACTTTCTATTTTCCCTACAAAAGCCCCAAAATGTATGCAACAGCAATACGATTTTTGGTTTCTGTCATGAGTAAACAATTTCTACAATTTTGATGGCATACTCTTGGGCGTTA